TATGCAACTATACACATCAGGGCTTCAAGAAAAATATTGTGTGCATGTATACAATATATATAAAAATACGCGTTCTCTAGGAAAATGGAATTTAAGTGTACAGAAATCCCATGTGCCAAGTAAGTTCCAAAATTAACAGTACAAACAAATAGCTGCATATATAGATATCTGTTTACTGAAAGGAAAGGAAAAAAAAATCACACCTTGATCCAGGTGCCAAGTGAATCAAATGTATGAATTAAATGGCATTTTTTTCTTCTTCTCTTATTTTGCTTGATGTCCCAATTTTAGCTCCCGACTGCTCTCTATTTCTTGTATTACTGTGGATTTTAGGACTGGTGGTCACAAGGCCCATTCATGCCTTTTTTACTTTTTGCAAGGTCTAAAACTATGAAAACTATAACTACAGTAGTGATGGCATCACAGTTTTTCCTTTTATTGGGGGAGAGGGGGAGAATGGGGTATAGGGACAGGTGTTTATACATGATGATTTCCACCATCTCCTCCTCCATCAGGTCTCCAAAAACTCCAAGAGAAGAGTCAGCCAGCCAGCAGCAACACTCTTGGAGTCACATTGAGCACAATATTACTCAAACAAAACCCTTATCTGATAAAAAAACTAGTTTTTCTCTGACCCCAGTTGTGCAGACAACACAGCTGTCCAAAAGACACACAATTTTGCATTTCTAAATAATAACTCAACAAGAACAATTCAAAGTAATTAAGAAACAACCAAATTAAGCTCATTCTATGTCACAAAAACCTTTGTTTGGGAAACTGAGGCAAGGAAGCCTAACCAGAGTTTCTCAATATTGAGCCTTTTATTCCATGTAAGGAAAATAGTTTCTCTCTGCTTCTTCATTTTACTGCAAGGTTGTTTTGCTCTCTGTTCTCAGTTATCATTTATTCTGTAAATCTTGTGGAATCCAGACCTCAAATTTTACCAGTTCTTCCTATATCTTACATTCTCACAGAAGATGCTCCACTGAATTCCTCATGCTATTCTAGTCAACAGAATATTTTCATTGGCTTATGTATGGTTAGGAGGTTTTATATGTATTTATGAGTTTTTCTCCTTCTCTATCTGTCAATGCATGTGACTCAGAAACTTAAATAATAGACTATATTATACAATCAAGAAAGGTACAAATGAAGTAAAATTGGATTTAAAGCAGACCCTTACTACTAAATTGTGACGTGTATATATAAACATTCACAAATGTTTCTGTAACTTTCTCCCAGGTCTGTTTTCCTCACTTCTGTTAAGAATAGAAGTAGCTAAAAGATCTTTTGAAGCTTAAGAGACTTTGACTGAGATTCTGGTCCCATTGTCATCAAACCCCATTGAAGTAAATGGGAGCTTTCTTAAATTTTGATTAGAATGTTATTCTACTTCGTTGTTTCCCAGCTGAAGTGAAGGAGGAAACAAATTTGTCTGCAAAAAAAGAAAAAGAAGGCTTTTTTCTTGGAAAATATCTAATTAGTTATGAAAATTGGTTTTGTGAGACATATAGATGTTTATGTATATTTTTCTGCATATCATCACAGTGTTGTAAATCTTGTATGGCATTCAACCATATTAGTGTATTTTGAATAAAAAATGGAATTTTTTTTATAAGTGGGAATGATGAAAAGTAGTTGAGAGTAGTAGTATCAATATCAAGAGAAACTTTGCATTGAAAAGGATACTTCAGACATTTAGCTGCTTGTCCATCACTACTTACAGGCATTACAATCATGAACTGAAAGGTACTTTATTGCATCTATTGTTTTAGAGCTGTTAGCTTTAAGAAAAAATTGTAAAAACAATTAGAGTTTCCTGGTCACGAGGCTTATTTCCTAATCCATTGTCTATAATTAGCCAGGAAATCACTTGGCATTAGTCACTGCAAAGGCCATAGGCAATTGTGCCAGCTTTATCACTTCCTGAGCTAATGCTTGTAGAAGCGGACATAAAAACAATAAAATTTCCAGTTAAGGTTCATTTACCATTTAAAAATAGAAAACTAACAAGAGTTGACTGCTACCTCAGCCTTGAAATCAACCATAAAAAGGGGCAATTTGCAACCACAGACTTGTACTATTTTGTTTAGAGTGTTGTATACAACTAACTCTGAGTACCAACTTTGACAGCTTCTCTTTTATTCCCAACTATGTATTCTAATACATTAGTAAAATTTTCATCACTAAGCTTTCTGACAAAGGAAACAGACTTTCAGATTACAGCTTCAAATATAATCCAAATATAATTAAATATCTATACTCATAAACAATAATTTCCCATTGTATGAGAAGAAATTGAAAACCTACTCTGATCTTTTCCAGAATTCAATATAGCTGAACTACAGACTCAGAACATTTTTTACTATTATTATTAGCAATGTTTGAAAGTGAACATAAGTGATGAAAATATATGACTCAACCTAGAATTTGAAATAACCAATAATCTTTTCAAAGCAAAGCAGTTACTTCTTTTGTCCTTTCCAGCTGACAATTCTGGATATCTATCTAAAACTGGATTAGAGCAAAAAATAAACTCCTAAATGTAGGGGAAAGATTAGAAGGGCGAAAGCCCAAGCAGAACTTAACTTGGCTACCACAGTTAAAGATAACAAAAGAGGTTTTTTCAGTATATCCGTAAAAAAGGGCAGGCTAGGGAAAATGCAGGCCCACTGATGAATGAGGTGGGTGCCTTGGTGGTGGAAGTATAATATGGATGAATAAGTTATGCAACGGGCATAAACTGGAACATAGGAAGTTCCACTCAAATATGAGGAAGAACTTCTTTATGGTGAGGGTGACAGAGCCCTGGAACAGGCTGCCCAGGGAGGGTGTGGAGTCCCCTTCTCTGGAGATCTTCAAGAACTGGCTGGATGCAGTCCTGAGTGATGTGCTCTGGGCAACCCTGCTTTAGCAGGGGAGTTGGACTAGATGATCTCTAGAGGTCCCTTCCAACTCTGGCAATTCTGTGAATCTGTGAATCCATAAATGAAGGACACTAATTCAATACGGAATCACTCACTGATAACTATTCTTTGTTTTATCTATGTTTTGTTTTACATTCAAAATGCACATATACATACATTTATACTTGGAGCAATTTATGCTACTGACAGGAATCTAGAAACTTTCTGAAGCAGTTCCTTGACACATTCAGAAGAAAAAACCAATCTACTGTATTCATCAGGAAGTCTGTACTGACAGTTTATGAAGCAGAATTTATATGCAGTGCAAAGTATATTGTATTTGCTTTATTTTTATAGGTATAAATATAGAGCTAAGTAACACCCGCATAGTTTTGGAATTAACATTCGAAGTGTGAAGTTAAGCATTTGAAATTCATTAGAAAGTACAAGAATTAGGCCGCCTTGATGATTTGATTTCTTTTTTGTGGTCTAACTTCACTGCAGTGAAAAACTTCCAATTATACAGAAAATGTATTTTTATTTACTGTTGCCAACAATTTGCTATTGTACTTCATTAGTTGTTTTTTTTTTTTCTGCAGACTATTGCTTCTCTATTGTACATTCTTTTGCAAGATGGTCTTTAATTCCAGAGACATGGACGTGTCACTGATCTTTGAGTTAAAGCTGCATCAGTTCTAGACATTAATAACACGAATTTACAACACATTTTTGGTCAGTGAATAACCAGTCACATTAGTCAGAGTGTAGTAATCATCATTTTTTAAAAGGGCACATAAGGATTGAAATGCTTGTGCTAAGCATTAAATGCGGCATTGAATGTTCTGTGTCAGTTATTTTATTAGCTCTTGTGCCCTAGACCCCACAATTCTCTTATTTCTAGTAGGGAAAAGTTGCCCCAGATAGGGCCTGTATTCTCCTGTCTGTGCCTTACAGAATTAAAATAGGCTTCCCACCAACTCTAAGGACCTGCAGATAGTGTAGATAACGTCACACTTTGAAAACACTCAACTTCCTGAAAAAACAGATTTTATTCTTGGTCCTGAATAAGAAGTTTTCACTTCCTTCTCGTTCACAAAGATACATCGTATCTTCCTTTGATGCAGATTAACATAGAGTGGGCAGAAGAAACATAATACCTTCGGTTCTGTTGTTGAGGGCTTTTTATTTTAATTCCTCGGAAAAAACTTCCCAGTTTCTGTAATTCTGTTCTAGAGGAACTGGGTAATAATGAAAACTGAAGTCTATAAATCTAAGTGAAGTCTAAATCTAACCACAGTCTATAAATTCTAGGGTAAGGGATTAAAGTGAACCTAGGAGTTTTTTAATTTAAATCCTGAAAAAGTCATACTTCTACTTGGACTTAAGACAGACTGTTCATCAGTGGTGCTGTTGCTATGCAAGTTTGCAAATTTTTTTTAAGATTTTTGCTTTGAGAAACTGATCTCTGTTCATACTCATGACTCAAAAGTTTGGGGAACGTTCAGCACATCTACAAGAAAATTAGAATAAAACTGCTGTCAGATTGTTTGAAAGGTACAGCTGATGGTTTTTTTATAGCTCTAATAATTACATTTTAATATGGAGCATATGTACAAGTGATCTATATAGTCTAAAATTCTTTGTGCTCTTGTTATTTGAATTACATTTGTGATAGCTATATCAGCTAATTGGTGAAAAAGTAAGACACTGATATTGGTATGACTTGCTTCTGTTGTTAGTAGAGTTTTAGGCTCCAGACAGACGGAATTATGAATTTACAAATAGCAAAGATTGGAAAGTCATTTTTTGCGAATCTTCCTATGTAATTAACAGAACTGAAGAAAATGCTGCTTCTTTCCTTTTAAAAATTATCTAGAAGCAGAAAATTGGATTAAGGATGAAAGAAGGATGATGGAGTCACAGTGTGGTGATGAAGGAGCTGCTGATACTGGAAAAATCACACAAATCGTAATTCTTCTTTTCTGAGAAGGCAGCGGGGAGGGAGGGCAGAGGCAAGAGAAGGATACCATGTCTTTCAGTTCTTCCTAATCACCTTCTTGACCCAAAACTCTTTCTTCTGCTCTCTTATTTCAGGTCAAGGCCCCTAATTAGCATCCTGTGTTGGCTTTCCAAAGCTGGTTGGAAGGATAAGAGTAAGAGGCCAGGAAATAAACAGACATCTTTTCAATTCTGTCTAAGGTGAGAGTCAAACGCAGTAAATCTTTATATTGCAAACTGCTTCAGCTCCAGACCAAAGCAAATTATTGTTTATTGAAATTCAGTATCTCTTTCATCTCTAACTTGAAATGCAAACATATACTAGTAAACTTCATAAACAACACACTTTGAGAAGCAAATCTGATCCCTTGCTCTCAGTGATGAGCAACTTAGCCCATGGTAGTTCCACAAAATACTGTGCAGGGCTCCCTCTCTGTAGAGGAAAGTGTCTTATAGAGTGAGTAAAGGAGGAAGAGAATACAGTTTGTGATAATTATCACCTTTCTCAGGATGTTCTTAAATGCAAACTTAAACACTTCTACAGGAACATAAGTTTTGACAATACAGCAGTATAAAATAGTCTTCCAGATGCATTAAAGAAAATTATAAAGGAAAACAAGTGTTCCTTGACAAGCTGACTGAAATAATTTCAGTTTAACACTGGAGAACAAAAGCTGAAAGCAAGTGCTGCAGCCATAGGGGTTCTGCCAAAGTAAAGCTGCCACATATGTTAAAAGTAATCTTCAATATAAGGGGAAGTAATTTTTCATACTTGTTTGAAATTATGGCTCAGTCTTCTATTGCAAGGCATTTCTGTGTTGAAGATGCAGAGAAAAATCTTCCAGGTTATTGTTGCAGGCTGTCTACTGATGGTCAGAGTATGTCTTCCTGACCATATAATGACACAACACAAAGAAAAGGTATGAATTTTATTTTTTTTCTGCAACACTTGATATTATTTACATGCTTTAAAAGGGTGGGTAAAAAATTATTTTTGTAATATAAAGTAAAGCTTATAAAAATATGTTGAAGTGAATACACAGGTTAGCAAGTTTTCTGAGCATGACTAGCTCATATACCTGCAGGTGTTTTCCTTTGTATTAATCTGCTCTTTTGTCATGGCTCTAAACCTCAAGAACAAGGCCTAGGAAGGAACTTCAGTATTTGATCATCAGGGCCATCACATTACACTATAAACAGTGATACTATTCTTGCAACCATAATCTTGTGCTTCCTTTGATGTGTTAAGACCACCTAACACTTGTACACTTCAACAATTGAAAACACTCAGCACCTCAATCTTCCCCCATCCTCCCAGGTAAAACTTGTAAGCTCTCAATTCATTGTTTTCCATTACCTTCCTTTCTGAACAAATAATATTCTTGTTTTTGTGGCTGTTCAATCTTCAACAGCCATATTTCTAAGCTTCTGAAACTGGTGTGTGTACATTTTGCATTGGCCAGAGTTCCCAAAGAGTTCATAATTTGTATGGAACTTAATCATCACATTTATAGATGGACTTTTTCATAAACCCCAAACAATTAAAATGAATAGTTAAGCCACCTGACGATTCTGGATTTTATTTTTCCTTAATAGCTATCTTGAGGACATATACAATGAATGATAAAATAGACTTCTGTAAACCAGTTTGAAATAACTGTTGATAAAAGTCAATCACCAAGGCTGCAGTCCTTGGAGAGGAACTCAAATGTATTTGTTGTTGCATTGAACTTCATTGCACTTAGAAGAAATAGAAAGCAGGCACACCTTAGGTTCAAACATTTCACACATTCCAACTGATCATGTGCTTCTTCATTTCTCACATGGGTTCATCAGGAACCGAATCCTTCCCTTCTACTCCCCACCTCACTTCTCAGTTTTATCAGAAGCTAATTAGGATGATCACAACAGGAAAAGGCACGAATTTCCAAAGTGACCTTTTTTCCTTTTATGTGGGACTTCAGCTTTCTATCAGATCAATTAGTTAATTGGGCATCACTCCCCTAACACATCTCACTTACAAAAAAGCCCTCACCTTAAATAAGCAGTCACACTCCTTCATTTTAGATTGAAGGCTGGAAGCTCATTATAATTGGGGTCTGCTGCTGTTTCTTTGAGCACTCTCTTATCTGGGGATCAAGCTGCATGTAACGCAATCTTCCTCCACATGAACAAGAATGTTATCAAAATAAACCTTTTCTGCTGTCCCTCTCCTTTCCCGCTTTCCCTGCCATAACACTAACTGAAATAGTAGACTATTTTTTTTTTTAAGGGGGGGAAAGCCCTCAATTAGGCTGAGCAAGATTGAAAGGGAATTTTATATTCATATGGTATTTTAACTTCGATGTTGTTATTGAATCCTGCATTCAATTACACTACAGTTGCACTGTTAATAATCCCCTATATAAACATACAATAACATACTAGCAGTGAAGTGTAAGGTGGTTATCAAGAGGTCACGCTGTTTAAAACAAGATATGATGTAGCTGAGGGCCTCTTAGAACTGTTCTACCATTCACTTACACATGCTTTTTCAGATACATTTTCACTTAATCCTCTCCTTTAGGATCCTATTTCTTAGATAGACAAGACTCCTAGCAACAAAGTCATCTAAAAGAAAATAAGGGATGAATAGCTAACTATCCTATGGCTATATGCTGGAGTATTAGTGCAGCTGCGATATATATTTTTTATTTATTTAGAGAGACGGTACACATTTTCTTATACACTGTTATACATATTTTCTTTTTCTGTGTGCCTGGTCTTACGTCTGTTATGCAGGACTGCTCTGTAAGTTGTGAAAATGTCATTTTTCTAAATGTGAACAAGGCAAATACATGACATTACTATGAAGCATTGCACAGGGGAGTGCCATTCCTCTCCACGACAATGGCCTTTTTACCAGATGTCTCCTAGGTCTGGAGTCAACCTTTGAGACTGAAGGATAAAAGACACCTTAAGAACAGCTGTTCTGAGGGGAAAAACAGCTCCTGTAAAAAGTATTTTAAAACTATGACAAACATTACAAATGAACTCTGGTTGTTTATTGCAGTAGCCTACTTTAAAATTACTATCAAGTTTAACATCTCAGAGGCCTGAAGTTTCAGAGTATGAAACAAAAAGTGAAGAGTTTCCAACGCTCAGGCACTCATTCCCAAGCTCTTTAATAGTAATGATTGAAAATACACATCCAGGAATCTTTTCACTCATCACTCAAACAGAGCTGTGTCCAAAATCAAATGTGGCAGCTGTTTAGCAGTACATGACAACACTAAACAAATGTTTAGACAAGGGAAATGAAAAATATTATGCGAAAAATTATACTTCAGTAGGATTTATTTACAGAAAGCAATGCAGGAAGAATTGTTTCTAAATGTTTAACATGTTTTCCAGACATAGGCTTTGGCTCCTGAAATACACCAGCATTCCAGTGACTATTAATATGACGGACTTCAATGTTTTGGCATATTAATGTTAATAAAACTACCTCCTGCACTTATCAATACCATACAGAGAAATTTTTCTGAACCAAATATATCTTATGTATAAGGATTGTCCCCAGAGGTTTTACCCCAGTGATAGATGTTTTCCACTGTGTTCAGTAAATCAGCCTTGTCGTTGCGGGCAACTGCTGCTTTGCCATGAATTTGACCAGAGGGTAAGCAAAGGCTGCTGTAGGGGTCCTCAGCTACATCAGCAATTTTATTTGTGGGCAACACAGACTATACCTTTGCTATGTCAAAAAGCATGGATTTAAGAAGGAATTCGAACACACTTTTATTCTTTATTGGATTTGTTGTTGTAGCTCCCCAGGAATGAAAAAATAAAAGCGAGAAGGGGGAAGGGAGGAGAAATAACCAAACTTCCTGCTATCAGGGTGTAAAAAGATCTGTACTCGGGATCAAGAAGGTACATTGCTGATGTTTTTGAACTGACAAGGTGTTTTAGAAGCAGGCAGTGTTTGTAGGGGAGGGATGTCGGTTGTGGGCTGAGGATACCTTTAATTGGATATGGCTAAGTCTAGGTTTCTTCAATAATTCAAGATGTTTACTTAATTGCCAATAAAATATACAGAGCGTTAAGACATCAATACTCTACTGCAAGAAAGACTGCAGGAGAATGAAAATGCATTTAAGCAAGTAAAGCCTAAAGCAGTGCAAGTTGAAGGTTTTAATATAATCAAGAAGTCCAAAGTAGCAATCGTAGAGAAGGAATTTGAATGAGTAAACCTCACCATGGCACTGCCCTCTTCGTGTTTAGTCATGTATGTCTTTCATTTACTTTTGACAAAGGAGAAGGTAAGAACAAAGTCAACACACAGGTGTCAACTTTCATTTTTTGACATAAGCAAACACAAGCAAATGGTAACAATATTTATGCAGTGGAATCGGTCAATAATAAGTAATTTTAATTAAGACTTTAAGCATTCTAATTGTGTGATGACATAGGATATGATGTTCGAGTAGCTAGAGGAAAGCATTAGGCAGGAGATGGAACAGAAAGTAAAAAGATGGTTTTAGTTACCTGTATGACAAGTAATAGTCAGTCTTGGGTAACCTTTTTCCTAGGACTCCAAGGACACCCCTGGGGGATGTAAGTGGCTTTAGTTTACTGATGTCCCTGATCGCAGCTTGTTAAAAATGAAGAGTTTTTAAATCGCTTTTCAAAAGTGATTAAGGAACGGTCAGATTCTACAAGCATTAGTTCTGCTGATACGCACTGAACAGCTGTTAAGTGCTATTGTCATGTTGGCCTTAAATAGCATTTCTTGCATGGGTCTACAAGACTGTGCCCAAACTGAAGCTTTTCTAAGTAACAAAGAATGATCTCTTAGGTCTTAAGAACAGCTGTCTCCTATAGTGAGAAGACAGACAGAACTGCAGATTGGTTTGAAATCAAGAAAACCATGGAAGTTTCTTCAGCCAACCTGAACAGACTTTTTCACTAAGGCACTTTAGAAAAAGTCTACCTTATTTCAAATAAGTTTATTTTTTGGTATAATGCGGAGCTGAATGTTAACATTGTGGATTTTGAATTTGAACTGCTTCACAGCATTTGGATATTTTGGGATGTGTCAGTTTGGCTGAAGTCCGTATCTGCCCTACCAAGTTTTTTATTTTACCACATCAAATGCCAGTGCTGTTTCTTTTTTGCTGTTGCCTAGTTTGGGGCAGAAGCCAAGGAATGTGTGGGCAGGCTCGGGCTCTAGAGTGAAGAGGGACTGGCCACCCTGTATGCATAGTTTTCTGACAAACTGAGCACAGGTGGTACCATCTGCAGCCTACAGTAAAGGCAGCAGGGCTTTCAGAGAGGCTGAAAAAGTGTCAGGAAGATCATTTTCACAGAGGTGGAAACAATTTTAAGAACAATTTTAACCACAGGTTCAGGATCTAGCTGTGATCTCAACAGCCGCTCAGCTGAATTAAATTGCCTCAAACTCTAACAAATACCTTGCAAAGAGTAACAACTGAAGAGCGTTCTCAGTGGGAGCCCATTTTGAATACTCGCTTTTCAGCAACCAAAAGATTATTCTGTGGAGTGCCTACACTCCAAATACATTTGCGTACCTAACCTATCACCCTGTTGAGATGCTGGATGACTGCTTTATAGCAGATGTGGACATTTACTTTCCTTTGTAAAAATAGTCAATAACAGCCTCAGTAACAGGGCTTTAAAAAAACCTTTAAAGCCTTTAAAACCCAAATATGGCATAAAACATTGTCCTTAATGTACAATAAAACATAAAATAAAATACTTGAAGATGCAAACTGCTGCAAATAGCTTCTCTAAAAAGCTGAATGACTTGGTCCAACACTTGTAATTTCCTGTAGGCCTGCCTAAATAAAGGAAGAAAAACATGCTAAAGCTCAGTTATCGTTACAGAAAAAGAAAATGAGATCTCCTTGCACTTATAAATTAAGACACTTTGTTTTTATACATCTGAGTATGAAATTCTGAGAGTCAGAATTCCTTGTGGAAAGAAATGTCTTCTAGAGGGCTAGTCATTCATTACCCAATAGATAAGAAAACCTTGACACATCAGGAAAACACCTTGATATGACAAGTGTGTACAAAACCAACTATGTCTTATGTCTTATTGACCTACCAGTTCCTATCTACTGGAGTTAATTTTGAGGCTCACTGGTTTCATATAAAGGAAAAAGATTGTGCTTTTCTTGCTTCTAGCTCTAAATTTTGTGAATAGCTTTTCCTGAAAGTCTGAGCAACTACTCCAAGAAACTGAAGAAATGTATGTAAATGTTTGATTACTTGATCTTGTTTCCAACATGATATTTTATGGTCTTCAACAGTAACCACAACACAAATATTAGCACTCAGAAAATTTTCAAAGATTTTCATAACAAACAAAAGTGCAGTCCTCTTTTATTGTAAGTGGAAACTGACACAAATTGACAATGCTTGAGCTATACGTTTGATTAATCTTGGCTCTCAGCCTAAATTACAAGACTATTTTTGCCCCAATGGAGCAGCAAAACCCAGTACTGAACATAGAGGGAATGCTGTGGGAGAACAGAAATTTTATAAATCACCAAGATAGATGCATAGAATTACATGATGAAGAGAAATATAAGGTTCACTGTGTCATTTTTATTGCCCAAAAGCATTGATAAAGAAATAGAAGTCTTTACTGGGTTTGTGGTTGGTGTTCATGCTGAATGGATGGATGCTCTTGGATAAATCATAAGCTTATCGTTCTTGCATTAAAACTGACTTATATATTTACTGATTGTAATTTCCCAAGTATATCCAAGAGGGGTGGAAATTAGAACATTCTTTTCAGTTCATTATGCAAATATATCAATATTATATACTGTGCACATATATACACACATTGTGTGTGTGTATATTTATACTATGTGTTAATAAACCTTTTTTCATTTTTTCCTATGAAAAATGCTGCAACCAGTGTTTGGGGAGGAACTGCAGCATCAAAAAGTCTTGGTAGAAAACCTTTTGCCTTATGGTGATGTTATTTACATCTTAAAAACACAGTCACTGACTTGTACCTCCTGTCATGGATCCTTAATGCTGTCTTGCTGCTCATCCTGTCACACATGAACGCCTGCCTTTGAACCCTGCTCCCGGATGGTTCAGCCCCCTCCTGGAATTTATGCTGTTTGTTTTGAGCCTTTCATGAAAGAGAAAAAGGCTGACATATTCTCAGTCAAGCATAATATGAAGATTTAAGCTGAAAGTAAGTTGGTTTCACTTCTGCCTTTTTCCCCAATGAGATGGCATTGGTGCGTGTGTACTGACATAAAAAAATGTTAATAGCATAGCTCTTCATTGGATCCAATTGATTTTTCATCTCAACAGACTATACTCAGCTGCCATTTGACCAGTGTCTAAGAAAGAGAGTGAGCAAGTGAAGTAAAGAAAGAACAGCACTGATCAACTAGACAAACATAGAGAATATTTTTAAGAGTATAAAAACATAAACAGCCTTTCCGTCAGTGACTGCATAATTTATGAACATTATCCTGTCAGACTAGGCACTGCTTCCATCTGTTTTTCTATCAAATTCTCCCGAAATCTGCTCATATTATATTTGACTGTGAAAACAGTAGTACTGAATAAAGTTTACCACAGTAGCAGGGAAGTGTTTGTAGACTCAAACACAGATACAAAGAGTTATCACTAGACAGGTACGAGGCTCAGTTGTACCTGTGCCTGACTGCTTTCTCTGAGCCTCCTCACAATTTTTGTTTTTAATTGCTTTAATTGTTTTAGAAAATTAAGGCATTTCACCAAATGATTTGCACAAACTTAACATGTTTTAATGCAGTCTTCAACCTTCTTTGTCACAGCACAGTTCAGTAAATAGTCCCCCGAGTTTATAACAGCCCGATTTCCAAATTTATTTGCAGGTCACAAAGAACAGACATGATTATCTACTTTGTTCTAGGAATTAGTATAAATCAAGGCAGTCCCATCCAGTGGTGTTACCTCAGCACATCTGAATTTTGAAAATCAGTAACATAAGACACACTGCAAACATGGAGGACAGTCTGCCCTCTATGTCTCCAGAAGGTAGTTTGAACAATAACAGACAATAACGCTTCCTCTATACTGAGGCACCAATGAGCTCAATCCATCCCAACCACCCCTGGGATGAATACCGGGCCCTGGATCCATGCTCTGTTGAGTTATTACTTTTTCAGAGTAGACTCGGTAAGCTATGGATTAGTCCTGTGAGAACTGGGACGGTGAGAGAGAACTGTATTGTCAGCTACTGCAGAAGCATCAGAAGATCTGCTTGTGTGGCACAGGGAGTGAGATATAGATGTACCATATCTTAGAGAACCCCCTTGAAAATCACAGAAGCTGTCAGCTCAAATGGGGCAATATGAAGGTTAGAGTTTTCCTGGCCTAGGATGTAAGAGTCTGTGTCTCTTAGTTTTCTGCCTTTTTGCTGGAACCGTTAGTTTTAATCCTTTGACATCTTAGAGGCTGGTCATAGACATGAGGTTGATCTGCCTCCACCTTATTCCTTAAGTAAGCATGCTAAAAAGATCAGAATAACTTTAATATCTAAACTAGGTTTTATTGGGATCCAAAGATCATGAACACTTTTTAAAGAGGATATGCAGTCATAATCTGTCCAGCAGATATATTAAAAAAAAATCTTAAAAGAATTTGAAAAACAATGATTCCCCATGTCCTTTTCTACAGGGTCATACTATGTTTATCACTGGGTTTCTTTACTGCAGTATGATCTACTGTTGTGGTTTGACTCCAGCCAACATCTGAACACTTGGATTCTCTCACTTGCTTCCCTCTCCCATGGGACAAGGAGAAAATAGAAGGAAGACAGGAAGACTTGCGGATTGAGATAAAGACACTTTAATAAGTGAAGCAAAAGCCGTGTCTGCAAACAAAGAAAAGAAGGAATTTATTCACTGCTTCCTGTCGGCAGGCAGATGTTTAGGTACTACCTGGAAAGTGGGGTCTCAGCATGAGTAACCGTGGCTTAGAAAGATAAACGTCACGATCAGAAAGGCAACTGCTGCTAAGGCAATGCCAAAAAAGAGAAACCAGAAATCCTCCCAACCAGAAGTCACTGTGGAGATCTGATTTCCAACATAAACACCTCTTCTGCCAATGCAAAAAATGGTTAACTTTAGCAAAATCAAGGACTACACCTTACTGTTGTTCCCTCTTACTTCTGGCTTCCTGAGTAAGTGGATGGCTGGTTTGAGAGGTAAGGAGCAATGCTAACCTGTAGCTGGTCAGTTCTTTATTTAGCCTGATGAAGGACCTCCAACCTTTGTCTCATCCGATGTAATAAATGTTCAGCTTGAGTGGAGAAAGCCATGGTGCGTTGTTTACTGCCCTTGGCTCCAAGCTGAGAAAATCTCTGCTGCAAAAGGTGCACTGCTAAATGAGATTCCAAAGTACAGGAGAGACCTTTAAGCTTCCTAAAAAATGTGTTTGGCCTTCTCATGCCTTTGCTAAAAGTTGATTCACTGCACCCGACTGAACAAGGACTCTACACACTTTACAAGTATTTTGCATGGAACTATAATTATCATTTCTGATTAAATCTACCTACACTGGAAAGCTGCGTGAGCTTCTAACAAAAGTTATGTTTTAAGTAACTATATCACAGGTACTTATAATTTGACAAGTGTTAAGACTGAGGGTGGAAAAAAGGGATAGGAAGATGAAATGTAGGCTAAGAGCCCTCTGCTATTAGAAGGGTGGCTGAAGAGACTGCATGGGAGTGATAAGAACAATTTCTCTTCTGACGGATGATCCTGATGAGCACTAAATACCTGAAAATCCAGTTATTTGTAAATCTTGGTCTTGGCAAGAGCTATTTTTTTTTATTCTACTGAAAGCAGTAATACAATTGTATTCGATATACAGCTGATCCTCAGCTGGTCCCCCCAACACACACAAGGAAAGGAAGAGAAGAAATTTTGAAAGAATGCACATGTAAAGTGTCTCCATATTCCATTTTCTATGCAAGAGATGTAAAAAAGGGGAAATGTGCAGTCTCTTTATTTGCAATGGGTACAAGACTGTCTACAAAAAACCAAAAAAAACCCACTATTCTGGCTGTTACACTTCCTAAGATATTCTAATTTGCAGAATTTGACCTCTGGGGACTCCAAAGCTGAGAAAGCAGGAACTGCAATTGATGCTGTTCTGCCACCTCACTGCACTGGCTGTTGTGGCGGGGAAGCAGAGCTGTGCTATTTCTGACTTTTGAGTTGCCAATACAACCTTTAAACCACATAAAAATAATTAATTCTGGCATTTGTTAGCAAATCCCCTTCAAGATATTGCTGAAATCCTTATGGAGTATATTTAAGCTGTCTTAAAATTTCTCTATCACTTCCAAAAGTTGCTGCATATCCTCTTATTTCAGGAAGGGCACTGCTTCTGTGAATGCCAGGGTATTCCACTACTCAAAGCTGGATGTATCTAGTAAATTGATGACAAACTATTCTGTGATCTGCTTCTAAATAGTGAAAAACAGTCCTACTGTGGAAGACGATTCAACTGTAAGGCCAGATTGCATATATAAACAAGCAAAAAAGAAATTCTCACATACTATAAATATTAATTTATTTAAATGATCTTAAAACAAATTCACAATAGATGCACTATGATTAATTATTCTCTATCACAGTGGACTACTCCATAAATCTTTTATAAGGCCATTATCAGTTTAATCAGTTTACATTGCTGAAGACCTGAAAATATCTTACTTTGTAGAATAATTTTGGAAAATGAGAGTATACAAACTATTCTAAAATAAAGTAAGTCTATGTGGACACAATAATTGTAAATTGTTTTCCTCTCACTACAAATTACAAATATATCCCATGCTACTGCAACAATTTAATAACAGTGTTATCATTTTGCCTAGACAAGGAAAAAACCAAAGATTTACACCAATGACAGCAATTATGTATGAAATAAACATATGCAAACAGCATGTAGTCTTCGGTTTCACTGACATACTTGTGAGGAAAGCAGTTAGTTAAATATGAACTTATAGTGATGTACTACTCATCAGAAGTTTGACTGCATTTTTCAAAGCTCTTCAGCGTATGTGTTTATTTTCCTAGTCTTCTTGAGATAATTCTGTCCATGGCAAATTATGGTTAAGAATAATTCACTAGGCATAATATACTCATTAGGTCTGATAAATATTTGATTCTACTGAGTATTTAAGGATTGTGGTTTCTATCTGGGACAACACATGAGGGACCTTTAGAACAGTTGTAACAACTTAAATTCCTAGAAAGAGATAAGGCTGTAAGTGAATTACTTTGTCATCACACTAGGACATGCAAGCTGGATCTTCTCCACCAGTATAATTCTTCCAAGCATTGCCAGATCCAAGTGACATGGTAAGTATGGAGCAAATCACAGGACAGATAAATTAGTCCCTGGCCTTGGTTTTATTTTTTTTTTTTTTTCAGTTTGCATTTTTTGAGAAACCTGAATTTTCCCTCCCACCGTACAGATGTTATTACACGGCCAAAATACACATAACCACTCTAACATATGAGGAGTTTACTCTAGTCATTTAATAGAAGAAGGTATGCTTGTTAGATCAAATATTCAGATTTCCGTATGACTGGAGGTGAAACAAAGAGGGACCAATACAGTTGTAGAAATGTTTCATGTGTTAGAGGTGGTAGGATTTTTTTAGATCTCAAAAGTTCAGCAAGACTACTTGCAGTTCAGGCAGAGAGAAAAAATAAAATATACATTTACCAGTAACCTAAAGACACAGAGATGCACTTCTTAGGCTACTTAATATGACGATTGTAGCCAGCAGTTACTTCAGGTGAACAACAGCAGGACATGACTGTTTTACTGTCAAAAGAATTATTTACTGCTGTAAGTACCGGGCTTTTCCAAGCAGAACATTCAAACATTGTTAAAGAACATAACAGTCATTTTCCAAAGGTTGCTGCCCCACAGGCCATATAGGAAAAGCATGTCATCCAGATTCAAAATATGTGTATCACTACTGGAAATTAATCTTAAAATCACTCTTGAATTAACAAGTTGTAGTTCATGAATTTTTTACCTTGCAGAAAAATATATGAAATGTTTCACAACTCAACAGTGAATATATGTTCATTTCTCCCATCACCTCATTTTAGATTTTAGCCACAGTTAAAATGGGTACAGTGTTAATGTTCTTCTATCCATTTTTTTAAAGAAAATACAAGCCACAAAAATTTTGTGAAAGGAAAATAAACTGTTTCTTGAGAAGCTAGAATTGGTTTAATTTTCTGAAAAATAAAACTGCAAGGTAGAGCATGAAAATAATAATGAATTCTTTCTCATGTTGCTGCTGCTCAGTCCTCATTAGTCTTCCATGTCTTTTAAACCATAAATATTTTAAATAAAGTGCTTAAGAGAAAGACAAATCTTTGTCGAGTATCTAAACTGCTTTTAGGTGGGAAGGAGCAATTTTGTGTGGTTTGATTAATTTTTTTCATGGAAGGCCTTATCTATTAATTGTATCTGTCTTTACCACTTAAATGATTTTTTCCTTATTCTTTTCGGTGAAAACATTACTGTCTTGAAGGTACTTATCTTCATTTCCAACCTATAGAACTAAAGTTAACTTCTGTGTTTTACAGATGCAGAACCAAACCGGAGATACTAATTGGCTTTCCAAGCTCACACAGACTTTGGATAGAATTGCTCAAATATAATGCTATATTCACCAGAGGTGTTCTAAGCTTTGTCAAAGCACTTAACCAAAGAGAGCTCTCCAGCTACAAGCTGGACAGTAGGAGAAAGGAAGGAGAAAAGCATGTCCAGGCTGGACAACGTGAAACTGATAAATTCGGTATTACCAAAAATTTGAAACGTTAAAGTCAATATTCTTTTATTAGCCTTAAAGTACACCATGAGTTTGAAATCAATACCATGAGGAATGTATGTTGTGGTTCCTGTTGGACCAAACTACAAATATAAGCCTCACGAAACTTTAGCTGCTAAAATCTGTGTAAAGACCTAGGTTGCATGGAATAATTTGGAAGCCTGCAGTAATCCAACCTTGAAAGTATAGAGGAACAGAGAAAGAAGACAAAGGACTGTGACATATTGATCAGAGTGGCGCTACAATGATTACAGTTTTTATAACATAGATTTCATGAAAGAAATATGAAAATTTAAAAGAATGTGATGCTTTTAGAGTACAGTTTCATTTCGTTAAAAAAGAAAGGAAAAATGATCTTACGAAAGACTATTGCTTTTCCTCTGAAAAGAAACAAAAAGCTCAGTTTTGCTACATAAAGATGAAATACACACAATCATGTAAGAAAGGGGCTTAAAGAAAACACAGCAATAGCAAATAGCCGCTACTTTTGTACTGCTCGCCCGCCAATGCTCTGACAAGGCTAACAGCAGCAGCAGCAGTTTTAAACCTTCAACCTTCTTCCTTAAATATACTTATGATGCTGTATCCAAGAACCAAGTAACTAATCAGGGGAGCAGATAGTTGTTATTTCCATCACTTTCATTTAAATTGTAGAAAACAATTGTATTTTGGATAAAGAAAAGTCTCAACTGGAACTAAGAATGATTAAATCACAGTTTTAAACCTAGTGTTAGGTCATGACCTGACCACTGCGGTGCAGGAATGACAAGAAGATCACAGGAGATCCCAAAGATGCAAATCATCCAAGAACCTGAAAAATAGGCTTTTTGTCTGCTACCTCTTCCACTACCTATCCTTGCCCTTTTGTTCCCAGTCATTGTGCATTACTAAATTAAGAGCTGTCTGAACTGGTTATTTCTTTAAACAGGAAATTCGTAAACCCTTTGCACAAACCTGCATACTTCATCTTTCCTTCCCTTACATTCCACACCTTAATTATGTAAAGAGACATGCACAATTGAAAAATATAGCTTGGAATTATTCATGAATACAAAATATATCTGGAAAAGTAAATTCCTTGATCAATTTTTGTGTTTTTCTCATAGACACCTCATCTTCCTTTTTCTCACAGATGTTTTTTTACTACGCACCCAATAAGACAAGATAAACTGGATTCTACTATGGTTCTTTCATCATCAACAAAATAATCATTTGCATTCTAACTGCAGCATTATTCATGATCAATTAGAAAGAACACTAACAAATTTCAAAACTTCAATCAAATTTCAAGGCTCGCAATGTGAAGGGGATGGGGATGTGTGTGTGGAACCCACTTGAATTGTCCCTAAAAACCATGAGCAAATTTGATAGCAAAAAGACAGAAAGAACTCCCACAGGGCCATTTTATGAAGCACTTTACCCTATTCTTTTGTGCTGTCAGTCTCTGGAATAGAGAGAGAAATAAGCTTACTGTCCTCTACCAGAAATGCATAGCAG